TCCTGAATAAATTAATTTGTGCTGAATGAAGACATGTATGAAGAAATAAATCATACACCAATGTTGTTGTTAAGTGCTGTTGAGTCAGTTCCAACCCATAGTGACCCTGTACAGGGTTTCCAAGGCTGTAAATCTTTATGGGAGCAGAAAGCCTCATCTTTCTCCCACGGAGCAATTGGTAGTTTCGAACTGCTGACCCTGAGATTATCAGCCCGATTTGTAACCACTACGCTACCAGAGCTCCTTATATACCAATGTAGTGTGAAATAATCTTTCATTCTGTTACATGTGATGGCGGTATTGTGAAGGGGTGACTTTCGCTAGAACTCCCAAAAGGTGACATAGGACATGAGACCTGAATGGTGAAAGGAAAGCTGTTGGTGTGTTTGCAGGGGCCAGAAGAGCCAGTGTGGCTAGAACAGAGTTAGCAACTGGGCAGAGTCAAATGAGCTGAGACTTTGTAAGACTGAAGCTCATTGGCTGTTCCTTTAAATTTAGGGGAGGCTACTACAGTTTCTTTTTACAGATGGTGGTGGTTGTTTCTAAGTGCCACTGAGTCTGTCTGACTCATAGTGACCGTGTATAGAGTTTCTGAGGCTATACATCATTTCAGAAACAGAAAGCCTCACCTTTCTTCCACAGAGCAGCTGGTGGGCTCACACTGCCAAGCTGTGGTTTGCAGTATACAGCCTCCATATGCCCTCTAGGTGGTGGTGGCGGTGGAGGGGGAGTCACGGAAAACACTTTCTCTCAACTTGCTTTCTCACCTGCAACTCCTGCGACATCACTTCCATTCAATTTCCTTTCTAGGCATTTATTTCCAACCCAACCAAATCCACGCAGTCCTGCCTGATGGCAGGGCTTGCCTGGTAAGAATGAAAGAAGTCAGTAAGTCTCCTTTGTGTGGGGACAGCTCAAGGGCCTCTCTTTGCAGCCAATTTAAAAGGAAAACTCCTAGTCAGTCATATTCCCACCATAGCTGAGATCTATTTTTTTGGCCTCATTGCCGTGAACTTTTCTTGAGGAAATGCGTCAGTATGTGTCTGAGGTTTTAACAAGTCCCTTTTTTGTTTGTTTGAAGGAATCAACTGTTTGGAGCCCATAAATGTGACTTACAGAAAATAGAGGTCAGCGAGAGATTAATTTGTGGGCAAAATTTGAAGTGTCGCCCTTGTTCGTGTGGTTAAGTCACAAGCAACTAATGTCAGTCAGCTTTGGCCTGCTAAAATTGGATTAAAAAGAGGCAGGTAGCTCTCAGTTGAAGGCTTAAAACTGTGTAATCCATTGTGCTCATTGCTTTGGTAATCCATCTGATTGTCCTTGGAGCTTCCAAGCTGTAGGTTTTGGCTTCACTGATAATTTTTTGGTCATATTCATAATTGCTTTTGTAGCATCTGAATGACTTCGTTCATGAAGCAGACCATGAAACACAAAGTACTGTATTTAAATTGTGCATTTATATAGATCTGGAACACGATAGCCCTGTAGGATAAGCACTGGACTTTGAACCACAAGTTGGTAGTTCGAGTTGACCTGCATATATGTGTATACATGCACATACGCATGCATATATCTATATAAATGGAGTCCTGGTGTGGCACCATAGGACAAGCACTTGACCTCAAGGTTGGTTTGAGCCACAAGGTCAAACTCACCAGCCGCTCCTTGGAAACTATATACAGAGTCATTAAGAGTCAGAACCAACCTGACCGCACTTAACAGCAACAATTCCTGGGTCACCACTGA